CCCAGGGGTCATTTCACGTTTACGTTCGCCATTTCTAAAATACGTGTAGCTTAAGCTCCATATTAAAATAGCACTTCTTTGAACGAGATTTTTCTTATTTGAGAGAACATTTTGACGATATATGCGCTACCATTGATAGCTCGGATAGCTGGCTCGTTTATTGGAATTGACACTCAAAACAATGCTATTTAACGTTTTCGAAATATTTAGGTACGAAAAATTTCGAACGGAATGCGTGACATATACGTAATTCGCGTGAAAAGTCCGAACGAAATGCGTACGTTTTTTTCGGCGTTTTGGACAGTATACATCACAAAGGAACTTATCGTGTCACTTGTCTATTGTGATGTCATAGAGACAATTAGAAAAATTGAAGAATTTGAAGAAAAATAGCCACCCAAAGACACTTACACCTGCTAATTGCCATTTTACAAAGAGTTTATTCAAGCAAGAAAACTGTTTGGAAAAACGTAATTTCGGGTTGAACATGGTACCCACCACTCTGGTTACCATAGCAACCATATCTCAAGAACCAATCAAAATTGAGGTCCCAAATTTTACCATATAATGTATAAATATATAACACATATGTGTACCAAGTTTCATTGCAATAATACTATTTTCCTTGAAGTTATGACATCAAATGCAAAACTTTTTGAACCACCTAAGTATATCGTGTAAAACGTAATCGGTCGTATGTGACCAGAACGGTGGAAATAAGATCATTAAATGTAGACACTATCACAGAAAGAATAGTTGCCTCGTTGCAAGTCAAACATTGCCTCGTTTCATTGTTACAAAATGTAGACAGGTGCCTCGTTTCCTAAGTGAGAGAATTGAAATGTAAATATCTCAGCAATGTCTGTATTGATTTCTAATTTGCAATCATATTATAAAACCGGAACTTATAAACTATTTACTTGCCAAATATTAAGTTTTAATTTGAAGGATAAAAGCACGAAAATTGTAAAAAACAAAAATCTTACAGAATGAAATTTTTTCACGCGCCGCCATTTTGATACGAGGCAAAACCTCCCTCGTTTCCAGTTCATCCCCAGTGTTTTCGAAAGTTCCCAAATAACGGCAATGGGAGTTCAGTATGTGCGGAGAAACACTACCCTTTATTCCGGACACTTGCTGACACGTGTCTTAGGCACCACGTGTTACACCACATCAATCTTCCTGATAGGATCACGTCAAATAATTCTGCCTTGTTAATTTTCCATTATTGCTAACATATGAAGTATGTATTTCTTTATTATCACAGAAGCATCTGAATTGCTAGTTTAAGGTACTTATCCTCGGTAGATCACCCGCCGTGTGCTCTGAAGCGAGTATCCCGAGATAAGGCTCGAGTAATTAAATTTTACTTTGTTTTTGAGGCATGTATAGAAATCTGAGAAGACTCTTTTATTTTCTGATATTCTCAAAATCCTCCTTAAAATTATGCACGATATAATAAAGGATTTTTCTTATGGAGGAAATATGCTAAAATCACAGTTAATTTTCCATAAATGCCGCATTAATTTTATTTATCATGTGGTATGAAATGGTTACGAGAGAACATTAACATTATATTTATTTACACTTGCCTTATATTAGTTTAGCAGAGTAGATTGGAATAAGTTCAATTAAGTGTCTGTTTTCCTCAGAAACCCGCTGATTACAAACACATGTACGATTTACAGGCTAGTCATAGAGGTCAACATGCTCTTTCAAGAAACAATTGCTCTAATAACACGAAATGCTGCAAACCACCTGTGCGATTATGAAGTTCTGGTACAGTGGGCTTCTTAGCCTTGCCCGGGACTGTGTCTTTTATTTTTCTTTATTTTTTACATATATAATTGAAAATCAAGATAAGTAAAAAATAAAACAGACATGGGCAAGGCTATGGATTTCTTCATCTTGACAATACCTTTTTCATTTAAGACATGCCCGCCTTTCAAAGTTCATCGAAACATAATAATTATCGCATCTTTCTGTTTATTAAGAACACACCTTGACCCATCAAATAAAATTCGTTTATGGCTGAATCTAGAATTGCACTGGTTTAACAGTATGTAAGTAACATGCTCTGATATTCTATTCTGTGATATCAGCTCATCTGATGGAAAAAATTGCAACAGATATTAAGTGTGATTGTTTTAATGCCTTTATAGCCCGAAATTTTCAAACAGGGTGACACAAAAAATGCCATCCACTAATTTCGGAATAACTTTCTCAATAATTAAGGAATCTTCTTGATTTTTATGTGTAGATATAATGTTCAATGGAAGATGTTCTTGGATAGCATTAACAGCTTTCAAATTTAGAGATATCACTTTTCCGTCCAGGCAAGCTCTGGTTGAAACTGTCAAAAATTGTTCAAAAATTTCGTCTTGGTCATCATTTGAGTCATTTCTGGATTGCCTTCACATATAGAATCAACAATATGTCAAATCTACCCATTTTTCGAAAAAAATGTCAAATTTGTTGAACTGAGTCGCTTATGAGATAAATTTTAGAAAAGACAGTCTTTCTAATTTACATTTTTTTAATGATATCGTATCAGAGCATGCCTCCACGGAAAACGTGATGCTATGCAAGCAAACCAACTTTTCCATATTCACATAAAAAAATCAGGAGGATTCCTTGCTTATTAAGAAAGTTGTTACAAAATTAGTGGGTGTCATTTTTGTGTCACCCTGTATATCAGACATTTTATGCTATTGTCACTTCCATAGATGCCACATTAGAAATATAAGTTGAGATGAAAGATCTTAAAATACAGAAACATTTCAATCAAGCACGACAAAAACAAATAGGTGGTTATTCAGGAGATTGACCAGCCAATTAAATGTGATTAGGAGGATCGAGTAGGTAGATATACAAATCATCTATCAAGATAACATCCGGGCTTTCATTTCTCTGATCATTCAAATGTATATTACCCGGTATATTACGGAGCATTTACTTATCTCGTCAGAGACTGTCTTTACGAGAGATGGAATCCAAATAGAAGGAAGTATGATAAAGTAGATGAAGTCATCCCTAAGGATAGAACCTCGCAATTAGCTCTTGCACTCAATCTACACTGTACAGGGTCTCAGGAGCATTTAGAACAACGTATATCATTACTTTTTGTTAAGTTTGACTAGCTGCTCTAGTATAATTGGTTTTTGTAATAAATGTTATATGCGACTTTCGGGTAAACTATAGTAAATAACTCTTGCGTGACTAGGTTGTTGTCTATTTACGTAGTGTGGGATGAAAACATTTAGGTCCATTTATTACGAGTATTTGCACCTGGGTAGGACACCGTACGATTAAACCTGTATTAAAGCAGTCTAGTACCCTCTGCATTCATTCTACTTCGCTGATTAAAAGTGAGCTTCAATCGTCTTCGTTAGTTTATAACTAGACTCTGCACGCAGGGTAGCAGTCAAGAATCAGCCATGCACATCATGAATTAAAGGGTAATCCTCCGCTTTTATTTCTCACGACTATTTCCATTTCAATATGTAGTCACCTAATATAAAAGAGATGCCCGTTCATAACATCGATTTTCATCAGTATGACAATTTGTTCCACCTGCATCCAATATCTCAACCATCTCGATCCATCAATATATTTTATGATTGATGAAATACACTGGCTTATAACAGTATGTATCTCTATTAGCGGCGACACTTAAATGTTTCCGTCCGAAGTTATCAGACAAATACCTATACATCATCTGATAGATGGCGTCAATAATCTCTTTTAGATATAATCCAGTCATCAATCTTCCACTACATCGCCATCTTTCTATCTATACTTTATCTGCATCTACCCTGCGTGCAGAGTTTAGAAATAAACTAAGCTTTCTTTAAAGAGGCGAAGTCAACGAATGCAAAAGGTAGTCTGCATCCGGATAATTGCACAGATTCTGTCCAGTGTTTTACTAGATCAAGTCAGCGTTAGCTCAGTTGACACTTGACTTCTGTATGATATACGTTGAAACGTCTCTCACATATGAGATACATGTAAGTATTGAACCCATGTTGTATAACCATAAATCTATATTTTGCTATTTCATTACAGTCTTACAGGAGAGCAGTCCAAGGCATTCTATCAAGAAATGTGTAAACTAGAAAAACGGCAACTCCACGGAGTAGCAAATCCCAACGAACACTATAAATCATGAACCTGTACAGTCACAATGTAACATTTACCCTCTACTCTTCCATTCAATAAATATTTGAGATCATTGCAATATCATGTAACCATACTTTCAAGATAACTCCAAGTAATGGCGAATTCTTGCTCTAGGCAGCCATTTTGAATTTTCAGAGGCACAAATCAGAAAAACAATGCCATAATTGTGATCTACTCTGAAATTCCTTCAAGTTGAGTATAATATAGCCATACTTTTAAGAGATCAGAAAATAATTGCGAAATCCCACATTAAGCGGCCATTTTGAATTTTTCGAGGCCCGAATCAGAAAACGATACAAAATTTGCAATCTACTCTAAATTGCCTTTCATTGAGTATAATAAAGCTATACTTCAAAAACATCCCAAAATTAACGCAAATTCCTGTTTTCCCAACCCCTCATTCACGGCCCCTGAGGGTCAGGGTGAAAAACACGGGCCGAGATATATGTGAAATAGATAGATGTTGTGAAAATACTACCAACATTTCAAATAATAATATTTATTATTTTTGTTTAAAATGAAAAACATAAGATTTCTGCAAAAAAAACTCCCGCCATTTTTAAACCGGCAGCCATCTTTTAAAAACAAATTGCGTAAAACTTCACCAATATATATCTTTCCACCAAATATGAAGAAAATCTTTCGGCTAGTATTCGAGTTATCTTCCGGACAGACGGACGGACAGACTGACTGACTGACGGATTGAAGGCTTCGCTATATCCCTACTGAACTTCGTTCGTTGGGATAATAAGCAATAACAAATCAATGAATGAACAAAAACATAAAAAAATGTAACGAAGATAAATTTTAATTTCCCTTACCTTATCTGGGACTGACAAGAGATTGTTGTTGGATGCCGATAGATGGCGGTTTCCTGAAAGAACAACATTACAGATATTAGTGGCGGTTAATCGCATTGTTCTTTCCCTTCAAATCACATTTGTTAGTTTTACCTGATTGCTTATGCAATTATCTAAACACACATTTAGATTCTAACATTCTGTTCCATAATGGAATCCAGTATATGATGTCAAAATACATTATTTGCGGCCCAACAGAATAATTATCGTTTAATAAGTTATACCCAATTGAGTTATAAATTATAAGGAATGACAAGCTAATTTTACAAAATAACCAATAGTAATCCCCTATTTTAACGATTTAAGATATAATATGACATATCTAAGTGGAGTGTGGCCACCAAAACAAATGGATTACATGGTCACGGCTCCCCTTAAAATCATGAATCGTTCTTAAATGACAACTTAACTAATGTCCTAGATTAGGTTTTCTGTATTTCTAACTTTTGTGAACATTTTAACGAGATCGACATTGATTAGTGTGAGAGATAGGAATCTGTGGAGGATAATGACGTTGGACAACGAGCTATCGTGGATCTCCCGATATATGACAGCTAATCTTGAATTTCTGGACTACCATGGGATGAACAGATATTTTTCATACTCACTTAGCCTAGATATGAGAAGTGACTGGAAATGCACTTAACTTGAATGATATATATTATATTTAAAACACTTGTTAATGCTCACTAAGAATGTTAACCTTCCACGTGATCCTGTTGTTTAAGTTGCTAAATGTACAATTGACATTTATGGTTGTTGTTGTTGTATTTTTCCATCACAAGGATACCAACTGACTTATCTATCATAAAGATCTATCACATGATTGGAATACTTTTAAGACATTAACAAACAATATATCCTCATCAAAACCTCGTCATCTCCAGTGAGAAATTATCTTATCGTCTTATTATTCCGTACAATGTGAATAACCCTATTTAATAATGACGTTCATATTCCCTGGGTTCTGCTATGATCATTTAGACAGTGTACCCTGAGTGCATCAGAGGTTACGTCTAAAGTATGGAGACGAAGTTATATTTTAAGAAGTTGAATCAAAAGAATGAGAATGGTATTACCAGGGTAAATACATGGTAAAGTTCGTGATCTCGAAATAATGAGTTCTCATTATCACAAGTTCTTCGCTTATTTTACAAAATGCACCCTGATTATGCAGACCCCAAGACACACAAGTCGAAATGAACTAAATAACTCAATATAAGTCATCGCATTAATTGTATTGCGTACAGTATTTTAGATTTGAATTTTGTGGTGATTGTGACCTTGACCCTGAGTAACCGGGGATCTCCTATTCATTTTTTACTTTAATCCGACTCAGAACGGTATTTTAGTTCATCGCCCGAACGAACGGACGAACGGACGAACAGACGGACTGGCGTCTCGATGGGATAATGATCGAACTCGCCCAGACTCATGAGTAAGCCTATACCACAACTCTGCCATTCTGATAGTTATCATTTCTTTTTGCCTTCAACTAGAAATATATGATTTCTCATGTTGCATCTCTACACTCATTTAATAAACTCTCTAATGAATCAGAATTTCGCTGGGGGTCAACTAAATATTAAGGTTCTACATCTTTCTGTATTCCAACCCAACTATAATTAACTAAACCAACCTTGTGAAGTAATATATACATATTACCTGCGATTATCTCGTCCGACAGATGATCAACACCTTTAATGAGAAATGCCAAAGACGCTGATATCTCCATCACTAAACTCCTTAAAGATGAGCATATCTATCCAATAATAAATCCATGTTTTCCTAATTGTTTCCATAACCAAGATACGAAGTGTCAATGTTGATAGCAACCTTTCAACTGCTTACACATTCCCAGCTCAAAACATCCAAACAGACAACACTTGTTTATATCGAGTGACACTAGCTGGGTTAATAGTAATCAGTTTCTTAAAAAATCATTGGGATTTGTTTTATGAAAAAAAGAGAAAAGAAGATCATTTATTTCGTTATTTATGGGAGATATAATGAGTTCAGCAACATCGCTGGTTTTACACGGGTGACCCGAGGATAACATTTTCGTATTAAAAACACCGACTATTTGATTAATGTCAAGAAATCAAAACAAGAATATCAAGGGGACCAATAGCCTCTTTCTGCATTGCATATACGTTACTCATGATGATAATTAGTCATAACAATGTGGAGTTCATCGTCATGGGTTTGAGGAAAAGGGAAATGTTTATAGAAGCAAATGAGAGAAGTTTTGATGTTCACTAGTTGGCAGAACCTTTACTTATAGTTAACGAATTCAAGTTCATAGGAATCGATGCTAGCTGATTATATCTGAAACCCAATGCTATATCACTTTCAATAAATATATCAAGTTTATTTATTACAGTGCTCCGTTCCATAAAGCTTTTTATTAATATAATAAGGAACATGGAACAGTTCCTATTTCCCAATGGACGGTGTTTTATATTTAAAAGCGAATATGAACTAGAATTCTCTCTTCACCTCCCTCATGGTAAATCTCACATTTAGTTTGAGAAACTCATTGAAATGAAGTATTTTATCATTCTTCATGGGTAACATTCTGGGTCTATTTGACGAATATGACACTGCGGCCAGGAAATGACACGGTACCATGAATAATGACACAGTACTATGAATAATGACACATAGTACCATGAATAATGACACAGTACTATGAATATTGACACTCAGTTCCATGGGTAATGACACCTTACGGATGAAGACAACAGTCTCCATGAGAGTAATTATGAAACTCAATTTTAGACAATTCCACACTCTCTCATTTTCAGGCATGCGAAATTATTCAAATTGAAAGGCATGCGAAATTATTCAAATTGAAAAACATAAATTGATGAAAGCGTCGAATAATTCATCAAATCAATTCAATTCTCCACTTATGTCGAGTCCAGGACAAATAAAACGAGTGGGAGAATGCACAATCAAGACTTATTCCAAGCTTCGTCTTCATTTTGTCGCCTTTCCTCGATGTTTTATGAGTTGAGGACAACTGATAAGTTGGGATTAAATGCTCCCAAGCCTCACGACGATTGAGCGGAATATTCGTTTAGGAAGGTAATGTCCTCACGTAATAGATGATCTCAGACATTATTATGGAAGACACTTTCCACAAATATGCTGTTGCACTGATGGTTATCAGAATGCATGAACGTCTGGGCAAATTAAGACCGGATTATTCAAATGAAATTGAATGTATTTTGTATTAAACGGACATTCAAAGACTGGTCATGATAAATGCAAATTGCCAAAATATTTTGATGTGCCCATTACCAAACACAAGAAAGGTACGCTTGAAATATAAACAACACCTCATCACTGTGCTTATTCATCAAAACATCTTGAAACGAATGAAAACATCTAGTTCATTTGGGAAATGTTATTGAAATATTGAGAGACTCATTGTTCCAACTTTGGATCCTTTGAATCAATAATTTCACGAAAATAAACAAAATATTTAACCAACTAAAACGAATCGATCCTCGCTGTAAAATATTGATAGAAACATTTAAACATAAACAAAATACATCGCACTCTTTTGATAAGTTATGCTTAACAATGGAAGCTAATGGGTTGTAAGCCGTTGCATTTGTATTATTTACCTTCTATAATTCTAAAATAAGGAAAAGCTTGGATCGTAACAACAGATTGAAGAGGTCTCTCATTGATATACTAAGTACTTTGATATTATATTTAATGTCACAGCTGTTCTCTCTCGAGATTGACCTTCATATGTCATATTGACCTTGGATAGCTTCGATAGTGTTGTTGGTTACGATCTCAAAAACGTCAATACCAGAAAAAACGTAATTACAATGCCAGTTTACCAGTTCTGTCGCAGGAAAACGCTTAGGTTGAGTCTCTATCAAAGTTGAATCAAAATCTATGTTGAATTTAGTTAGGAGAAAAACATTGTTGTAGGACAAGATTTCTGAAAATTAACTAGTCTTCTCTTAAAACCTGGCTTTTCATTTAGATTTCAGGCCTGTCAACTTGGGAACACCTAACATGAGTAACTTGGAAATGTTGAACACCTCCCCTCAAAATGTGGACACCTTGGTCCAAATCTGAACACCTTGATCCAAATTTTGAACACCTTGGTTTAAATTTTATTACATTTTGTCAAATTTTGAACACCTCAAATTTTTCATGCTCGCTACGCTCGCGTTTCAAACATCCATCAACGGGGGGGGGGGGTATAGGTACGAACATTTTCGAACGGAATGCGTGACATACGTAATTCGCGTGAAAAGTCCGAACGAAATGCGTACGTTTTTTTTCGGCGTTCGTATTTTTGCTGTGTAGACGAACTTTTTTAGAAATTTTTCTACAGAAATATTTTTGCTTGACAATAACCAGGTAAAATGCGTATTTGCGTGACATTTTCTGTCACGCAAAAATAACTGGCGTGACTTCAAATTCTTCAGCAAATGCGTGACAAATACGCAAATTGCGGGACAGTTGACAGGCCTGAGATTTGTCCATCTTTTATGCAAAGGCCGCTCAAGAAGTTCTGATAAAATGCTGTATTGTTTTCTCAACAAGTAAAGGAAATCACCTTTCATGTTTTCTATATAATACATATATTTACAATGATTTTACACTTATGAGAATAGGACAACAGTTACTATTCAAACGGCCATTTGTAGAATAAGCAACCTTGTAATGGAATTTCGATCATTTATTCAAAAGAAAACTAATTACAAACTTTGCAATTATTACCCTGTCCCGCTATAGCATTATTGGTGACCATAGCAACCATAACTTCAGAAATATTTGTTACCAACATCTAAAGATTTTATAACTCATTTAAGGAATAAATAATGATAGGCCATTCAATATGGTGAAATTCAGCACGAGTTGGACAGAATGTTGTACAAAGCACGAACCGAAGGTGAGTGCATTTGTACTAACATTCTGTCCAACGAGTGCTGAATTTCACCATATTGAATGGCCTATCATTATTTATTCCGATTCAAAC